CTCCTTCTTATCAAATGTGACATTCCAGATACTTATTGAGAAAATCTCTTATCTGAGCTCTGGGAACCTTCCTCTTCAAGAAAATCAGCCAATTACAAGAATGAGGACTCAATCACATTTTTCAACAGTACTCAGTTTGTGGGCAATCAGGATAGAAATTCTGCTCTTCATAATTTTTTCAAGAGTAACTTTAACTTTTTTCCGATGAATCATCCAAGGCAGATGTAGCTTCATCAAGTTTAAGCCTCTTGGGTTTTTTTATAATAGCTTTTGCGATAGCATTCTTTGTTTTTATCCACAAGAGAACTTGCCTCCTCTAAGACATCAATTAGCAGTGAAACCATTGTTCTATTGCAAATATTTTATTTATTCACCTCTTCTATCAATATATTCTTATTGTGCTTAGTATTCACCCCCTCTTGATCTAATCTTTCTTCAAACCTTCTAGGAGAATTCAGTTTCATTGAACTCATTCAAGCCCAATGTTTTTGCAAATTTCTATTGATTTATATTAAAATGTGATATCGATGAGATTGATTATCCTTGAATTTAGTTATATGAGATTCAGCCGATTTGTTAATTACATTACTTAACTTTTAAGACTCTATGAAATCAATAATAACTTCAGCAGAAGCTCTAATATCAGAATGGCTTGCCTAATCTTGACAAAATAGAATAATCTTAAAAATATCTAGAATTTTTTCATGTACAGTATATTAGAAGATTATGGGTTCCTACATTATTCATCCCATTAATTCTCTTAGAAATTTCAAATCATAGTTTTTAATAACTTAACCATCAAGTACAATTAATCCTGAGTTGACAATGTAGAATATAAGAAAGACAGAATGGAGGACTTTTCACAGCATGATTCACTACAGTGCAACAGTTTCCTTAGAATTAATTTGCATGTTTGGTCCCTTTAGTATCAGTCATTCTTTCTTGTGGGATATCTGAGCCAGACATTTTTTTATTTAATTTCAGCCTTGATAATTTATAGGTTAATTTTGATTAGGTCACTACGTATTTAGGTAATAGTATTGATTTTCCAAGGAAAATTCATCATACTGAACACTTTAGCTGAAGATCCTTTTCTTCACCGATATCAGGACAAAACTGCCCTATCCAGTAGTCATAAAAATAGTCATAAATTCATTTCATATTTGCAAAGATAGCAATAAAAATCTCATCTTGTCTGTCTTAGTCGAATTCCATGCTATTTTAATCATGTTGAATAATAACTGAATCAACATAAAAGTGTACAGCGAGCACAGCAGACTATACAAAGTTAGAAATCCGAAAAATCTCCTATTACGTAACTCTTTATTTCAGCAATCTTTTGTCGGCTTTTAAAAGTTTCTTATAATAACAAATTATTTAATCCTCATTTCCGAATGAAGTATCAGTTCTATAATTTATAATGGCATCAACAGTTAGTAAATTAGCTTCTTTTGAGGCACAGTCAGCATCTGAGCTCGTATCTGCATGGAACTTAGCATTCATAATACTTCCAAGGATTATAAATGGAATACAAGCCAAACAAGCTAGAAAAATTTTACAGTTGTAAATTAAACCAATGACCACACCTGAAAAGTTGTAAAGCCTGCCTCTAAACGTGAAGCGAAACTCTCTAACTTAATCCGTTTATAATCTAAGTATCAGTATCACGTGCTATTTAAAATCGATTGAAACAAAAATAGCACTTGGAGCATTTTCCTTCTGATGAAAGATCCCAATATGTTTTTGCAATCCTGAACTATACAGTCCTTGTCTGATTTTGAGAGTAATATTCCCTCCTATAATTCCTATGTAGTATTTTTTAATGAAACCAATAAAGAAAGATATTAAGGCAGCGATGAACATGTGCAGGGAGTACTTTGTCTGAATTAGATCTTACATCTTCACTGAGAGGTAAATAGTAGTTATAAAGGACAAACTGCATTTCAGTTAAAGTATACCAGAACAATGCATGATCAGCCCCAAGAACATAGTGACTAAGATACATATTTTCGATGTTTAACTTGGGCTGATCTTAACTAATCTCATGAATTTATTTTACCTAGCCAATGCGTTTTCGCAGAACGACAAGTAGTCTTTTAGAGAATTTTCGACCCATCATCTCGAAGAGCTTCGGATTTACTACCTTGCCTCTGTTTATGGTGATGTTTGTCTTTTGATCTGCTACTTCTTTGAATCCATATTATATTATAGGAAAAGGTTAAATAATTTAAATATACTAATCTTGAGAACAAATTTAAATGTTATTTGTCTGATTATTATACTATTTCGTTATATATAAGGATGATCTGTTATGCGGGGTTTTGGGGTTTTGGGGTTTTGGGG